GAATATTACTCTGATCTTGTTAACGAAGAGTACCATCCAGATAAATTCGACGAAGATTTTGAACACTTACTAGATGAAACTGTGCAGAACATCGATAATGATCTAAAGAACAGCAATAACTTATTCACGGACGGGGTCGTTATATCGATTTAAGAAATCAAATACCAATTTGAACAGCTCACCAAAGGGAAAGCTCCTGGACCAGATTTTCTCACTAACGAACAGCTCATATATAGTGGTCATTTTGTAGCAGAACAGCTGTGCTTACTTTTTAATGCTGTAATTAGTGAAAAATACGTCCCTGAAATGTTTAAAGTGGGAAAAATTATATCTATTTATAAAGGTAAAAACAAAGATAAATGTATTCCTACCAATTACAGGGGTATTACATTGACATCTATAGTAAGCAAATTATTTGAAAAAATACTTTTGTCAAAAATTGAAGATGATATAGTTAAAAGTGGGAAATCGTTTCCACATAATCTACAGTTTGGGTCTAGAAATAACTACGGTGCTATTCCAGCTTGTTATGTTCTAAAAGAAGCTATTAGCTACTATGTAGATAGAGCTTCTCCAGTTTTCTGTCATTTTCTGAGATAATGAAAAAGCCTTTGACAAATCTGGCATAATGGTTTATTATTTAAGCTATATAATCTTGGATAAGACTCCAGATTTTGGCAAATTTTAAAGTACTGGTATGATGACAGCAAATGCTTTGTATCATTTTGTGGTGTAAACTCCAATTTGTTTAAAAGCTCACAAGGTGTAGGACAAGGAAGAGTACTTAGTGCTTTTATGTTTCTTGTGTATATTAATGATTATTACATGAGATATGCAAAAATGGCAATGGCCTTTTACTGGGTGATTTACACATTCCAGGTATTCTATTAGCAGATGATACTGCTCTAATGAGCAATTCACCAAAATCATTACAGTGTTTACTCAACCTTGTAGAAAACTATGCATTTACCCGGAGACTCCATTATAATCCAAGTAAAAGTGTTTTTATTGTATTTAGGAAAACCAAAAAATGTTCCATATCTTGTAGCGTTACGCTTTTTGGTAGTGAAATACCTCAGTCTGAAAGTACAGTGTATGCTGGTTGTCTTCTACAGGCAAATATGAAAAGTGACAAACTTACAGAACGAGTGTGTAAAACTGCCAGATCAAAAATCCACTCTTTATATTCTATTGGTGTTAATAACTCTGACATTCATCCCGTTGTATCTGCAAAAATATGGAAACGGGTCGTGCTACCGTCTGCCCTCTACTCTTGCGAGATATGGCCGTTATTGCCACTAACAGACATGCAACAACTTGAATATGTACAAAGACACTTTGCCAGGATTATTCAAGGATTCTCAAAGTTTTCTCCATCACTTTCAAGCATCTCGAATATTGGACTGTGGACTATACAGGACTACATTGATAAATGTCGACTACTTTTCTTAGGTAGACTCCATAGGTCAGAACAAACCTCTGTAAATCATCAGATCTATAATGATCTATAAGTTTATTTCTGATATTGATGTATCTGAAAAATTCTTTGCAACCAAAAACATGTTACAAACTGCTGGCAAATACAAGCTCTTAGATATGTTTGAAAACAATTGTAGCATTATATACAGTAAAAAGGAATTTTCAAAAATGATTATCAAAACAATATGGGCAGCAGAGGAAATCAATGGCGTGCTGCTCTGTCTGTAGATCCTGATATGTCTTTTTTCAGTAAAATACATACTTTGTTGAACCCAAATAAATTGTGGCAGATTGCTAGAGAAGATCCCTCAAAAAGATTATTAATCAATTTTTTGATTCAGGTTTCATCGATAAAAATTGTTTGTAAATTTTGTCAATTTTTAATAAGGTAACAAGTAATTATAATATGCACATGATGTTAAGCTGTTTTACACTATTAGACGACAGAGAAAATATGCTTGAGGACATTTTAGATATACTTGATGTAAATGAGTGTTTTGTTTGAGGATCAAGATCCTGAATTACAGTTTTTATCTTTAATGGGGTGTGTTCAAGGCACAAGTTTTGAAAACATATCTTTTACAAAATGGAAATGTATAATGATAATCGTTGCCTCAACCGTTTATAAAAACAAAAGTCTTTTTGCCATAGACTGTCGAAACCTGTAATGTTTTCGTAGAAAATTGTACATATATAAATATGTTTTCTTTTTGCATTGTGTTGTTAATTAGTTATTTACCTGTTCATACAAACTCTCCATTAATTTGGAGGAAATAAAGAATATCTTATCTTATCTTATCTTATCTCATTTGAACTATCTGAAAGAAAAAACAATACTTACTCAAGAAACCGTTGTAAGGATTGACAGAAGTACATCCAGGACCAATGATAGCAGAAATAACCGGAAAGAGATAGAGGCTGGAATATATCAGGGTGATCATCTGTTGCAAAGAAAAAAATAAAATGAAATCTTTACAGTAATAATTTTTCCTACGACAAAAATCGATATCAATACTTATGTTTTATTTTTTTTCTTGAAAATAAGGATTGATAATATCTTTATGTAAATATTTTTTTTTACATATCTGTATTCTTTATGAGTTTGTTTTTAATGATGATACACTGTTTATTATCTTCACCTTTTCAATAATTAACTGCACTGAATTTGTAATTAAAAGAATTTTCAACAAATTTTGACCCCTAGATATAAAGCAATGCCACCCTAACGTGATTTGATAATGTAGGTTTTTGCAAATGTTTTATTTGTCCATTATAAATAAATATATTTGACGAATTTCTATCCAAAAGTTTTATAAAAACTACTCAGTATGTTTGATAAAATTTATATTAAAAATTAACATTTTCTATTATTATTCAATTATTTATTTGATTTAAAAATTGTGAAAACGACAGTAAATTAATTTACACTGCTTAAGTTTATTTTTAAAAATGCCTACCTCTTTTATAAAAATGGTTTCCCCTATATTAACCAATTATACAGCTAAACCTTAGAAGTTAAATCAACATGAAATTTAAATCAATCGAACGATTTTTTATGCGATTTTCGTCATTGTTCTTATCATGGTGAGATACTTTTGTGCTGCCATAATTTTCTTTCTTATTAATGTCCCTAGTAATCATTTTTATAAAAGATGAAGCGATTTTTATTTTTTCTTTGCCTATTTATCAAATACAACTTTACTAAAAACATATACGATTGTGAGGAATAAGGCAGTCCTGAAGGGTTTACACCATTTACATTACCTTGATTTGCTAACACCAGTCTTGAACACAAAGCCAGTAAAATACAGTAATATTATGTTTGCTGATTGTATATTACCTTATATAAATAATTCTCAAATGCAACAGCTTATAATATGCTACGCACTTAATAAAGTTCAAGTACTCAACAAGTACAATTAATATTGTAAACAAAGACCAGAAAGTACTATCTGGTATTTCAATAGCCTTTAATTTATTTACATTATCTCCAGACACCAGCTGCTCTTTGCGAACAACTTCTCTACAATTTTTTCTTTGTTCAGCAAGAAAAAGCAGAATATTGAAAATTTGAAAAGTTTTCATTTTTTCATGCTCATAATTTCTTTGATTTATAAATATATCACCCTAAATCACTGATAAAAGTAACCATTAACAAAAATAAGTAAAACGTCAAGCATTATTTGACTTAATAATAAATGTTTTTGCTGACAACATCATTGTATCGACCATAAAATGATAACTTTAAATGGGACTACCGATAGACATGTTTCACAACCTTGTTTGTCTTAAACTTACATCGTTTTATAAAATGTTTGTATGCAAATCATGGTCGTGCGTAACAAATCAACTGAGAGATATGAGCCACGTTTACAGGACATTCATGTGATGAAGGTACATACCCATCGCTTCATAAGGGAAGTTGACAATTGAAAAGTTAAATTAATCACGTTTACCATAAAGCTTGGTTGTTAGATAATCTATTAAACCATTAACGTCTTTTCAAGTAAAATATCTAAATATAAAACAGAGCTGTCAGACTCTGTGGTATCTTTTATTCTTAGCTCACGGGGATATATTGTATCGACATAAGAATGGAAATAATTATTGTTAATTGACAGTACGTCGTCGGTGTCTAAATGTTGAGCTGAAGGCCACAGCGAGTGTTTTCTATATTCACGTACGCGATTTTGTACAAAAAAGATGGGGGACAAGGCGGGAAGAATTTCTTTAGCGTCAGATACTAAAAAAATCATATTCAATATGTGAATTAAATATCTAAATTAAGTTCTCATTATGGAAATTTAAGAAATTATGAGAAAAAAAATTTCCGAGAGAAAAATATCTCGTAAAAATGTTTCTTTTATAAAAATATTAGATGATATTCGTGGGATTCGAACCCTAGCAATAAAATCCTAAGAATCATAATGCTTTGAGACGGACGCTCTAACAACAATGCTATGTTGTTCATGATGATTGTGGGTATTTAAAACATTTTTGTAATATGACCCTTGACTTAATGGACTTGAAGTATTTCTCGGAAATTGGCGAATGTTTTGCCATAAAAGTGTACTTTTAAGGTATATTGGGTCTTTGCTCCTTGTTTTTGTAAACCAAGAAATGTATATTTTATAGCCAGCGTTTTTGATTATCTTTCAAAAAAAAATGGAGCGAAGGTCACTCATATTAAACAAACGAATTCAGAGAATTTATGTCCTCTGCTTAGGGAAAAAAAAAGACCAGTTCATGGGGTCGGGGAGTGGGGTTGGGGATCGGATCCCTAGTGATTGAATTTGTAAAATTAATAAATTATACATGTATATTGAAGCAAATAAAAAATGCCAATATTGACATAAAAGATTTGATTGCTTTTTTTTATTATGTGTATTGAAGATTTTTATATAGAATATTTATTATCACACTGTAATGATGAAATGAAGTTTGTACAAGCCAAGCGTCATATCTTTTTCATATCACATGATGCTGAATATTATCATTTAAGGAAAAGGTTTTTCGAAAAAATGAAAGAAAATGAATCATCCTGGATGCGATCCTGGGACCTCTCGCATGTTAAACGGAGACATGCCACTAACCACGGAGCCGCTTTATGCTGTAGGAAATCATACGCAAACAATAGGTCACATACATGTATATGTTAACGTTCGCTTTTGTCAAAATTTGACACAATGCATGTTGTCTATTTAGCCTTTATTGAACAGTTCTAGACTAAAATTTGTAATAAGAATGAAAAGTCCGCCGACAACCTGTATCATACGTAATAATTCTCAACATGCCCCTGTGCTAAAAACAGTGCCAAGCGACACTTAATACTTATTAAACAAATGGAGCGGGAGACTTTGAGAGTGATGAGAGAGGCCCTCGGGAAATTCATTACAAAAGCTCAAAATCTTCAAATATCGTAAAATCGTGGACAAAGCGTTTTTCTCGAAAAGTAATGGGCGCACTAAGCTGAAAATTTCTGTAAATGTTTATTGATCATATTTAAGTGCATGATAATTTTTTGATAAAATATAGGCAAAAATAAAGATTTTATTATGCTTGAATATGCACGAGGTATTGTCCTACGGCGCACGGTCAAAAAACCAAGGTTTTATTAAAGAATACACAAGTTTGAATTCAAAATAAAAGTTTTAAATACATAAGATTTTGATTGAAATTATCCTAATTCAATTCCACAATCAATTTTGTAGTCTGTGTAAAAATTTTTAGGCATTTGCTTCATTTTTGGCAGTTTCTCGAGCATTCGAAATGGGAAAGTGGTAAACACAACACACGAGAAATGGCGACGTTTTATGATGTTACGGTGCACCGGAGAGCAGTTCTGTTTAAGTTTGATGTTGTAATGACACCTTTAGAGACCTGAAATAACCATAGAAGAAAACAGATTATAAAAATATCACCATATCTTAAGTATACAAATGAAATAGAAGTTTTCTTAGCGAATTCTGTTTTGATCAAGTCTCTGGGGAGTACAAACATACGGACAAACTCCTAATGTAATAGCAAAAGACGCTGTCACAGTAGACCGAAGATATGAGATTTTCTATTAGTTGAATGATGGTTAGAATACTGTCCGTAACTTACTGATAAATCTTCAGAAGATCGCAAAAGGGTGCCAATTAGTTCTTCGGCTGTGTATCGAGACTAAAGAATGTGTATCAATGAATTTAAGTCGGACTCATCCAACTTCGTTTTCAGCAAAGATAAAACTTGACGCTGTTTTAGACACTTTGACGTTATAATCCATGCGCCGTAAGGTGATACAATACATGGCATAAAATCACATTATTTGTTTATTTATGCATATATTTATCTGAAATTTGCTGTGTATATTATTAAAATATGTACTAAATAATAGTGAAAATTTCAGAACGCAGTGATGTTTATTTTTTACACTAGACAACTTGTCCACGATTTTAGGGGACAACCCTCGTACTTTTGATTGCATTTTGGCTTTCAATTTTTAAAGGAAAAAGGAATATAATTGCCGGTAGAGGACTAGCATTACTAATGCAATACTCAAAGAATGCTTGTTGATATTAGGATATTAATGGTAAGTTTTTTTGGTTTCTTTGATAATATTTATTGTGTTGCAATGTATGATTTTTATACATTTTTAAATGCATGTATATTTGTTACAATAAGTAGGGAATAGAAAAGTAAATTAAAGATATGTTATCGTACATAAGCTAATTCATTCTTTTATGCATAGCAGATTTACAAATGTGTAGTACATGCATATTAGGTATAACTAGCATTTCTTTGAAAGAGTCACCAAACATGCTGCTAAATGTTCCATATACATGTATTTTCATGTAGCATATTAAGGTGAAAGTTCATTTGTTTTTCATGAATATATTTAAATTGTACTTGTACATAATGTAAACACAGCGATGTATTGGAATATCTGTTAAAACTCTAAGTAAAAACGGGAAAAATCTCTCTTTAAAAAATATAATCTTTGTGCATTGTATTTGGGGTGAACTGGTAACAAGGAAAACAGGAAGTCTATCATCCTTCAATACTGCCTGAGTGTTTCGACGCAAAAACGCCTTTTATTGTATATATATAATGGAGAACATTTTTGACTATTTATGCATCTTGATTGAAAATCAGAATATTGGTTGTGTGTCCTGTTTTAATTTATGAACAATTTTTATATTTGATGCTCTCCCCTGATGGGTTATGGTAATGTCCTCTTGTGAATGATTTCGACTCGGAAAGTAATTATGCAGAACTTCATATTGATTCTTAACTGCCATCAAAATGGCTAAGACTTATTGAAATTTACGAAATTTGAAATTTATGCCATTCACAGATAACCTCATTTTTATCATTATATATATATATATATATATATATATATATATATATATATATATATATATATATATATATATATATATATATATATATATATATATATATTTTTTTTTTATTGTTCGTGTCGTTGGTCATTTTTAGTGCTTATATATATATATATATATATATATATATATATATATATATATATATATATATATATATATATATATATATATATATATATATATATATATATATATATGTATATATAAATTTATTTTCTCTCCTGTCTGTCTGTCTGTTTGTCCACCTGTTTGTTTTTTTCATTGTTCGTGTCGTTGGTCATTTTTAGTGCTTTATATATATATATATATATATATATATATATATATATATATATATATATATATATATATATAAAGCACTAAAAAACCAACAACACTGTATATCCTAAATGTCGGATCTACCAAGTAGATACAAGGTCACGGATGGAAATTTATATAAAGCACTAAAAATGACCAACGACACGAACAATAAAAATTGTCAAATTTTCGGGACGCCCTGTCCCTTCCTCAGGACAAAGAAAAAAGTTAAAAAGTCATAAGAACAAAGGAAAAAGAGAAACAAAAACAACTAGCACTACTACTAAACTACTAAACACTAGATATTTACATACTTAATTACATGCTGAGTTGGAAATTTTTAAGAACACTAATATTGGTGAATCAGTTGTATTTTGGTTAAAGTATAGTGGGTTCAAACAAAACAGGCTTTATCCAACCATGCATGGGAACATTGTATGGCTTATCGCTGCAGCTAGCACTGCAATAAATGCCTAAGTAGCGAATCTTTAACAAACCTCTGTAAAAGAATTGTGCCCGTCATGTGCTATGACTATAAATCCGGATGCTGTGTTAATCATCGGTAAAGATAATTTGTTGACTAATATCTAATATCTTTCTGATTACATCCCGTGGGGATCCGGGTTAGAATAGGTCCCCAGTACCCCCTTGCTTGTCGTAAAAGGCGACTAAATGGGGTGGTCCTTTGGATGAGACCGTATAAACCGAGGCCCCGTGTCACAGCAGGTGTGGCAAGACAAAGATCCCTCCCTGCTCAAAGGTCATAAGTGCCGAGCATAGGCCTAAATTTGCAGCCCTTCACCGGCAATGGTGACGTCTTTTGAAATAATAAATTGACATGTTTTGATTTTAGACATGTTCAGGTATCCTCGCACTTTTGCCTTGTACATCTGTATCAAGAATTTGGGCTTCTCCTGATGTGAATGGCGTACATGTAAGCCTTGAAAGTCGGAAGGATATACATGATTATATGGTACCCGTTTTTAATTCTTTGTGGGAAAATCATTCCCAGTTTCAACCAAATGTCTCCTTTCGTTACTCTCCAGATTCAGGAGGTTCTTGATTTTATAAGCTAAAAAAATGCCGAAAGAAAAGTTTTCATTCTGAAACCGAGTTTACTTGTATCCGGAAGCAATGTACCGCAAGTGGGCCTTCACAGCTTTACGTAATACTACTTTCCGCATAGATGTTTTAAAGACAACGAATTATTTCATCGACTTTAATTCTATTTGAAAAAGTTGCTGGTCTCTTCATATCATGTTAAAATGCAGTACACAGAATTAATTCTTATAGGTATGTTTTCTAATAACCAATTAATTAAATTTTCAATCTGCGTGTGTATGTGTATCTTTTTATGATTGCCTATTTTAGGTGTAATAATCTGCATTCCCGAAATGTTCTGTTCACGGACGTCATGTCCAGAAAATGGAGTATCATATTTGTTTAACGTCCAAAGAGTTAGCTGGATGGATGCAGCTAGACTATGTGAAGAAGCCGGGGGAGTTTTAGCGAAAGTACAGTCGATTATTGAAGCAAATTGTATCTCCAGTGAGTGAAGAATTATTTGTTTATAAAATCATTTTGAATTATGATACATTTTTGTTTTAAGCAATAATGAACAATGAAGCAATAACTCTTCATTTTAGGACATTTAAAACAAAATGGTGGCAGATTTTTCATTGGAGGAAACAAATCCTCGTCTGGAGATTGGACATGGATAGATGGTACTCCAATAACCCAGCCGACATTCTGGGCTCCAAGTAATGTGTATCTTGATCATGAAAATAGAAAGTAGACAGTGTTAAAGCTTTATAAATATCCCAAGAAAAATGATCAGATTTGGTTCATAGTCATTTATTAAGAATGTGTCTCTGCAAATATTATTTACAACGGCTTTGAACGTTGATTTTCCTCAATTGTCATTTTTACTATGTAGGCAATTCAATTAGCATGCGAATAAGATTTTACAAAAAAATAGTGTAGACAGCGGTACATTCCATAAAAAGTACTATAGTTAACCATAGCTTACTAAAGTAAATCAAAGTTTTCACTTTAGTTTAATCAAGAAATCTTAACTATGAATTTCAGATAGATTTACATTTTAAATTCTTAAAACAACTATTACTTATACATTTCCATTATATAAAAAAAACATCATTGGTATGTAACACTGCAGGAGAACCGATGACCGTAATACAGTTTACGGTCATCAAAACATATCGTCCGAGCCGACTGGTTTAAATTTTTTAAAGGGGATTAAAACAATTTCAAGAAAACTGGGTAATTTAAGATATTGATAAAACGATCAATGATGTTATGTCCACGCAAGTTTAGTTGTTGTTTACCAAAGCAAACGAAAATGAAAGGTAAATGCGTTTGAAATTTTGCAGTATGATGACAGTAACAAACACCCTCCAGTGAATAAATGATGACCGAAAAAATAATTACACAGATGACCGTAATCTTTCTACAAACTCATGTAGGAGGTCAGAAAGATACACAAATAATAATAAATCTTTTTCATATTTAGATATTTTACTTGAAAAAGACGTTAATGGTAATCTAACAACCAAGATCTTCGATAAATGTGATGATTTTCACTTTTCGATCGCCAACTACCCTTACTTATGCAGCAATATACCTTCGTCACCTGCGTACGGAATTTATGAGATCTCAGTTGATTCGATACGCAGGAACATGCTCCACGTATGAACAATTTCTAAAACGATGTAAATTATTGACAAAGAAGTTGATAAAACAAGAATATCAGCAATTTCGTTTAAAGTCATCATTTCGTAAGTTCTATGGTCGATACAATGACTTTGTCAGCAAAAAAGGTTTATCATTGAGTCAAATGCTTACGGACATTTTTCATTCTAATTGTTAGTACATTATTTATACGCTGAATTGACGACGGTTTTTTCGTTATTTCCCGATCATGACGAGGAGCGGGTTGACCGGTCAGCAGGGGATGATTACTCCTCCATGGCTCCTGATCCACCTTTAATGTTTTGAAGGTCCGTGTTTGCTCTGCTCCTGTTTTGTATTGCTTTGTGGACTTTTAATCTTGAATATTGTTCATTATCTCCATATGCTTTATGTATTAAATACGGCATCTTTTTTAAAATCAGTTCATGTTAGTTATCGCGCGATCGGCAGCATGGGTAGCCCCCTTTCCCCACCCATTTTTTCTCGAAACATACAATTTTCTATTGGAATGATCAACTGAAAAAGCGACCACCCTCCCTCCAAACTTCTAGTTGCAATTTAACAAAAAAAAAAAAAAAAAAAAAAAAAAAAGAAAAAGAAAACCCAAAAAACAAAACAAAAAACAAAACAAAACAACAACAACAACAACACAAACAAACAACAACAAACAAACAACCCCTTTTCAAGAAATAGGATTTTCGACTTTGGGATTTTGTTTGCATGCCTTTCAAGTTTTTTAAAAGGAAGTTAAAACCTGAAATTTTCTCTCCCCCCCTTTCAAAAACGATGCTACGCTTCTGACCTGAAATACGTTTTGTATGTGCTGGAGTATAACCAGCTGTAAATAAAACCAAGAAAACTTTTATTAGGGTAAATATCTACATTTAAGGATTCATCAAGAGTAAATTTGAAAAAAAAATTGTGCAAACTTTACCGATAAAATCGGCAATTGTTTCAACATCTAATTGTTATTATCAACTGGACCAACATTGAAATTATTACTAAGTGAAAATCCTTGAAGTATAAACATTTTTAGAATTTATTTAAAAAACTGCATTCATTTGAATCAACACACGCTTTTAACTAGAAATTTTGACAACAGCGATAACCAACGACATGCACGGTATATAAAGGATTGTAAAAAGAACCCAAATTAAAGTAAATTAAATGTTTGGAAAGTGTTTTTTTCGATGTATTAGGGTCATGTAATGTTTCTCATTGACATATTTTCATTACAATATTAAGGATCAACAGATTTTGTAAATAAAACATTCATTTTGTCAAATGTGAAGTTTCATTCCATTTGATTAAATAGCTCTTATGTTTGCCAGTTTTTAAAGCAACATGTTTTGTTACCAATGAGCACAGTTAATCAACATTGTAACGATAAAGAAGTTGAGAACGTTTCTCAAAATCATCCTGCTTTCTAATTTCATACACGGTAGTAGTATTAGCGGTCTAGCCGGGTGGTTCAACTGAGTGCACTTTTTATGCAAATGAGGTTCAAAATGGAGGATTTTGATTGGCTGGGAGGATAAGGGGGTCAAGGGAGTGCATTCCCCTAGGGGATAAGGGGGTCAAGGGAGTGCAGCCCCCTGGGGGATAGGGGGAGGGGTGTGGGAAGGATAGGGGGGTTCAACTCAGTACAGTCCTTGGGCGTTAGGTGGGTCAGTACATAGGTCTAAATATAGTGTTTACACTATACGCTGCGACTACGTTTTTTTATGTACACAGGTAAATACTTGGTAGCGACTCAAGAATGTGATTATGACGTCACACTTTTTTATTCACAGTCCAGACAGCCTAGTCTAGCCAGCCTAACCGGTTTGAACTGGATTTTTTTTATACTGAAAGACAATAACAAACCTGCATTTTTTACTGAAAACAATAACAAATAACACACAATACAATAACAAGGCAATTTTATTCAGAATGAAAATACAAACATACACTGTCTTCTTAATTTTTTCCCTCTCCTTTTTCTTGAGATTGTTTTCCTTCAGGCAATAAAGGGATGCGACAATATACATACGCTTTATAAATAGACCTATCTGTAAAAAGTCCTTGAAGCTTCTTTTCTTCCCAAAACCTCTTTTCTTCCAATTGATGAAAACACAAACCAAGATGAATTTTCCAGGAACTCTTCTCCAGTAATTTATAAGGTTCAGTCAGGATCTCCAATTTGTATTTTTGATAACCCCAATAGTTTGTTTTCTCCTTTAGACAGTATTTTTCCTCTCTGGTGTCAGTGTCATCATTTTCAGGATCCAATTCCACTCTTTTTACCAACCACACTTTTTTGTACTTTAAATTCTGTTGACGTTTAAAAAAATTATGTTGCGTTCATAAACATTCTGGATGGCTTCTTCTTTGGTTTTCATCCATTCTCCAAAAGTTTCTCCATTAATACACCAACAATACACCGTTTCCTCTGTCATATTTTTTCCGAAGTGCATTTTTTACCTGTGTTTATTTCCAAGTGCTCGCACAGAATGATCCTCCATGTCCAGCGCTGGTTTATATATATATATAGCATGGGTTCATTTTAGGGCCGTGTGCAAAAAAAAACAAAAAACAAAAAAACCTTTTACCTGCGTTTTTATATTTCTGTTGCATCATCTGTAAGAGCCGTGTGCAAAAAAAATAGGGTCGTGTGCAAAACATACGTTTTACCTGCGTTTTTATACCTGTTGCATCATTGTAAGGGGCCCGTGTGCAAAAAAATATACGATAGACCTACGTTTTTTTATGCTGACTATACAGGTAATACTAGGGGGACCGTGTGCAAAAGTAATATACGTTGGTACTACGAATTTTTTTATGCTGACTACACAGGTAAATACTTGGCAGCGACTCAAGAATGTGATTATGACGTCACGATTTCATTCACAGTCTAGCCAGCCTATCCAGTTTGAACTAGATTTTCTGAAAACAATAACACA